TGCACAAATATATGAACAATGTTATGTGATTTGCAAAATATAATCTTAAAAAAAAGTCTTCGTAACATTTTTTTTATATGCACAAAAAAAAGAAAAAAAAAAAAAAAATATATATATATATATATATATATAAAAGATCATGTATTTTACAAAATATAATTAAAAAAAGAAAAAAGGTTCTTCGTAACATTTTTCTTTGAAGTATAGTTGACCTTTTGCTGTAACAGGGCAAATAGCGAGGAAATCTGACATTGGCATTTACTTCGACTCTGATAAAAAAATATAAGTTAAAGTGTGCACGACCCTAATCTCAACATTAGATTTGACTACTACTTGTTTATATATAAATATGGATTATAATATAATCTTGTTCTCTTTGATCGAATGAAGTTTTCACGATTTTAATACCTATAAGAGAAACACCACTACTATTGACTATATTTATGAGATTTTTTTTCTTTCAATATTACGTAACATTAAATGATACGAAAAGTGAATGGTTGAGATTGAAACTAAAAGATTTGAAATTTTGTTAAAATCAAATCCCATGGCTAAAACGCTTATAGTATAATCGTAGCATTGACTTACATAGTTGCATGCAACCAACTCTTATCATGCACCGAAATAGAATGAAGCTAAGTTGACTAAAGTAATGTGTCCGTTAGTGGCAGAGCTAGGATTTTATCTATGCAGGCCTCTCACATACATAGGTAATTTGATCTCAAAATATGGGAGATTGAAGTAATTCGCATAAAAATTGAAAATCCCCAAGTTCAATAGAGAGAACTAAAAATAATGTATAAACTTAGAACTGGATATGAGGTAAAGAGTAAGCAAGAAAATTTGTAAAATACAAGTTAAAGCTAAAAAAAAGTTGATAGAAGTGAAGTCTACGCTGCAATAAGAGGTATGGAGAGAAAATTGAGGCTTAGCCTGGAACGAAAAAGAGTTTGGATTGAGAACATACTTAAAATTTTAAGAGTATCAAATTGATATGCAACAATAAGATTTGTTAGAGTAGCAAGAAAAAAAAAGGCAGGATGGACTAGGGACCATTTTGATCTCTTAGTAGCTCCCCCCCATAGTATCTGCTTTATAATTCCAAATTCAAACCTCTCCCGTACTTTATACTATTAGAATATAGCTCGAATAAAATTCGTCGTGCCAATCAAACTAAGGCTGGGTAAACGGGTCCTGGACCCGCAGGTCAGGGCAGGTAATTGCAATTCGGGGTGGGTACATATATTGTAAATTCAAAACAAGGCAGGGTGGGGCGGGTACAAATTTCAGGGAAAAAGGGCCCCCGACCCGAACCGTTTCCACCGTTCATTGTAGGGAGATTAAATCTTCATCGTTTATTTCTTAGGTTATGTAGAATTCTCCAGACTTCCAAAGTCCTAAATCCTAACTTCGATCATAGCGGCCTCCAAATCTTGACTCATCTTTACCTCGATCTTGAATTCTCCCAGCTCTGTCCATTCAAACATAGTCGTTGTTAGTGTTATAGTGGTTGTAGTAGTCGAGTTGCTTGTTATCAACCAGCAGCGCCGTCAGGTCGTCACCAACAGCGCTGTCGAGTCGTCAAGGGGTCAGTCGGTCTCCATGAGCAGCCTCTTTGTTATTCTCAGGATTCGTCATTGTCCCAGTCATCTTCGCCTCTCTTAGTTAACAACTATATTGTTAGCTTCCTCGATGTCGAAATTCACATCATTTTCCGTCAAATCCAAATCTTTACCAGTAATATTCAAATCCATGGAATTGGCTTTTGGCAATTTGACATCTTTAGCCTCCAAAACCCTAGGCCCACGAACTGGAGCGACATCTCTAGCGGAATTGGTTGGAACCGAGGTGGCGAGAGCTAGGGTTTGGTAATTGGGCAGGTGAGAAACATAAGGATTAAAGTGCGGAGCTGCAAAAAGGATCTTGTCCTTTTTGTCGAGGATGTTGGGATCGATCAGACTTTAGAAAGATTGGGGCGCGATGTAAGATTGGTGAGGTTGTGGCGCAGATGATGACAATGGTTTGGACAATTCAAAGGGTTGAAGAACGTCGGTGTAGAGATCTCTGAATTCATCGTCGTCTTCCATCGGAAATGAGGGAGCTTTAGAAAGAGAAAATGTGTTATAGAGGGAGACAGAGGGGGATGAGAAGGTTTTGATGTCTGTACTTAGCTACTGTAGGACCCGTGGGGACCCGTAGGAACCGGCCTGTTTTAAAAGGGCCGGGTTAGGTCTGGATCTCGTTTTGAAAAATCTAAAACCCACCTCGCCCCGCCCGTGTTATTTACAAAACCGGTTCGGTTTGGTTCCTTCAATTTTAGGCCCAGCTCAGCCCATGCCCACCCCTAAGAGCACTTCCACCGTGGGCTATTGCCCGGTGGACTGGCATTGGAACAGGGCCAGATAACTCGAAGGACATGGTCCAGCGTGTGCTGGCGATGGAGCTCGAGCGGGCTCGAAGGAGAGGCCCGGCACAAGTTGCCAGCCCGAGAGCCTGAAGGTAACCTAACGCAAGGCTGACATCAGGGTGATGTCAGCCACAATATAAAATTAATAAAAATATAAAATATTAATAAAAATGTAAAAAACTAATAAAAAAATAAAAAAAAATGTAAAGTGTCGGTGCCCACGATGTCGCCACAACAGAGGAAGAGGTCGTACACGACGTTGTTTAGGGTTTGGACTGTGGCGTTGTAGAAGCCGGTGGAGAGGTTGGCGTTGTAAGAGAGGGTGGAAAGGAGGCGGTTGACGTTGGACTGGAAGGTGGAGTTTGGGGTGAAGGTGGTGGTGTTTGGGCAGATGTGTAGAGATAATCTGCTTCTGTATTGGTCAAAAAGCTGGGCAGAGTAAAAATGGAGAAAATAAAAAGAAGGGTAGTCATACTTTTTCATTTTTTGGTAAAGTAGGGCAATAATCTCACCTAGGTTTGAGCAATGGAAGCTTGAAACTCTCGGCTTCAATGGTGGATCACCCAAATGGTGCTTTAATGATGCATGCAAGGATATTTTCAAGTTCCTCTCATCCAGGGGATTGAGATTTTAGAGTTTATTAGTTTGATTTGCTTCAGTTTTGAAGAAGAGGAAGGATAAGAGCTCTTGGAGCTGTAGAAAGAGAATGAAAGAGATTAAAGAGAGAGGTTTCAGAAATGAGGGGGAAGGGTTGGGTCGGTAGAGAGAGAGAGAAAGTGTAAGGGAAATGAGAGAGAGAGGGCTAGGTGAGGGAACCGGTCAAAGTAAAAGAAATCTCACAAGTGATTATTTTGTATTATTTTATAAAATAAAAAATACTAATATTTTATTGCCAATTGCCAGAGCTATTCAGTGTAGGGGTGGAGATGCAAAATGTGATTACTGTTCATTAAGAGTAATTACTGTTCACTAGATAGATAACATATTGGATAGCCTTATGGGGTCTTAGACACGGTGGAACTGCTCTAAATCAAACAATTATTTGACCGTCTTATCATGTTTGGCAATATGAGCTTTGAGAAATTGGCAGTAGGATCCAATCAAAAGAAGAGGCCTGAACCTGACTGAACGTAAAAGCTACTGGACCCTTCTCGCACGTCAAAAAATCAAACATGTTTGGAATGTGCAACGACCAAATACCAACGTGGAAAAGCCTTAGAAACTTCAAAATTCCAAGGCCACACCCTACGACTCAATCGCAATTTCCACAACTTTTACCAACAAATAAAGTTAACTTGGAATTTCCGGAGGAGTCCATGTTTGAACTCTCAAGTATATAATATTTGCTTTTGTAGGTAGAGATAGTGAGATTGATGGGAAATGTAAAGGAAATTTTAACGAAAAGTTATCGGTAATGTTTATTTTAACAAAAAATCATATTTTTGCACTAAAAAGTCAATCATGATACTATTCACTTTACCTTTTATTTTGTCATTGTCGTTAAAACTCAAAGTTTTCAAGTTTTTTTCATTAGTTTTCCTAAATGTAAGGAATTTTAACGAAAAACTCCTGATATTGTTTACTTTAACGAACAATAATACGAAAAGGAGAATCAATTTTGACTAAATAAATAAGGCTGAAAAAAGAGGTGTGCGGGTTGGTTTTTTTTTTTTTTTTTTTTTTTTGGGCAATTTGCAGGCAGTAAAAAAAAAAACACTACATATTTCTTTAAAATTGCAATAGAGAAAAGTGGTGTACGGGTATTATTTTCTTTAGCTAAAATTGTCCCTGAGATTGTCATAACTTTTCCCCTTGATTCCTAAAGTTTAAAATTGATAAAAGTGGTATCTAAGATTGTTCACCGTCATAATATGAAAAATCTCCGTTAAATTGAAAAAAAAAAAAAACACCAGTTCAAGGAGAGGTGTTGATTTGACAAAAATACCCCTAATTTAATGGAGATTTCTCACAAAATGACCAAAATGATTGATGATGGATAGTTTTATGGACCACTTCTATCGATTTTAAACCTCAGAGACCAAAGTGAGAAGTTATGTCAATATCAACGTCCATTTTGGATAAAAAGAGTCAATTAACACACATGCACAAATAACTCATCAAAAATACAAAAGAAAAATTTATAGATTGTAATTAGCAGGTAACTATGCTCATTCTATCAAATCACAGGTCGATAAATATGCAGAAATAACTCATTTTTACAAACGTTTTCACACTGTAATTAGCAGGTAAGTATAGATGGTTGATTTCAAGGAAATGAACAAGTAATTTTCTTAAAAAAATCAGTGCATGGAAATTGAATTGTAAAAAGTGTGAACCAAGAGCCGCCCAAAATCCACATTTAGAGATTTTTTTTTCCATTTTCTAATTCCTAGTGATTTACGAGTCAACCAGCCGTCTGATTCCCCAACACAAAATCTCCACATACACCCCCAAAATGGACACAGCCAAAACAAGTGCAGTCCAGCCGGACGCTCTTCAACTCCCTCCAACAGAAAACAAACAAACTTCCTCACAATATACTTTCTACCAAATGTCTAATTTCCTTGGTGACCATGTCTCCTTCAACTTCTTCAACTTTCCACCATTTCTTCCCAAAGACCTGCATTAGCAACTCACAAGCAACTTCCCTTGTATTTCGGGGCTTGACTGTTTTAATTTAGTGGCTTCAAACACAAGGACTCAATCCTTGGTCTCTATAAAACATCTCCCTCCTCTTCTCTCTCCCATAAACCAGAAACTTAATGTAAAACAATACCCTACTCTTCTCTCCCTTCCTCCCTCCCCTCTCTCTCTCTCTCTCTCTCTCTCTCTCTCTCTCTCTCTCTATATATATATATATATATATATATATTAGCTTTCTCACACTTAGAGATTTCTAACTTGGTCTTTCCTTCTGTTGATATCCACATCCAAGCTTTTCAGCCTATACCACTCTATCACAATGGAGAAGAGATCGTCGTTGACTAATCCTAACACATTACCGTTCTTTGTTTTGATCGATGAAATCTTGTTGCACACGATTTCTAACTGGTCAAGTAGAGTTCAGAATGGTTTTTCAAGGTTTCAGTCTGCTTTCCTCCAATCCCAAGAGAATTGTTGTAACTCAAAGCTTTTGGAAGAGAAGAACTGGGATTCTGAGTCAAGGCGCCCGCAGCTGGTCTGCGAGAAGAGAGATGGTGGGAGTTTGAGAAGAGAAGATGTGCAGAAGGTGATGGGAGGCTTGGGAATTTTTTGCGGTCCAGAAGGTGAGCAACTGCTGGAGACGTTCAGTTCCGATGAGCTTACAGGGCTGTTTGATGAGAAGGAGCCGAGTTTGGGGGAAGTGAAAGAAGCTTTTAACGTGTTTGATGAGAACAAAGATGGGTTTATCGATGCAAGGGAGTTGCAGCGAGTTCTCTGCATTTTGGGGTTAAAGGAAGGATCAAAGCTAGAAGACTGCCAGAAAATGATCAGAAGCTTTGACAAAAACGGAGATGGAAGAATAGAGTTCAATGAGTTTGTAAAAGTCATGGAGGCCAGCTTGTGCTGAATCAATTTTTTTTCTTTCTTTAGCTAATAAGTTACAGTCAAGTTAAGATTTCATGCATTTCTATTCTGTCTCTTACGACGTCTTAGTAAAATTATTACTAATGACAAATTAAACGAACTTCATGCACAGACTGTATTGCAAGATGAGAAACGTTATGGTAGATCATATCGTATGAAGAATCAAAGAGAAATTTATATGACTTATAACACATACTAAACAAGAAACTTTGATCTTTTGCGAATAGACGAAAGTCTGCAACGGAATTTGACAGACGATTAAATAAAACGAAGAACCTGAGCTCCAATTCTGATACACAGCAGTAGAGTGAAGAAAAATTAGCCCCAATCTATATATTCTTAATCTGCCTTTACATTTTACTTGACTTTGCCTTGGGCTCTAGTAGCATAATCATGTGACTCAACAAAGCCTTCTATTAGAATTCCTCTGTCCCATATCGGTCAGAAGGCTTGAGAACAAGTCATTTAAATAGAATTATCCCACTCTAACTAAACCCGAGGCCTTTTGCAATAAAACCCTACACCTGACGGATTGAGCAGGTGGCTAAGTGGGGATAGTATCGGTGTTGTTGGAGTGGGCCTATGACCCATCTACCTGAAATTTAAGATGGTATCAGAGCCAGAGGACGGGCTCGTACTGCCATGTGAACGGGTAGGTCCCTTTTGACCTTTCGCAAACGGGTGAGCCTTGACTTGGCTCCACGTAGGCCAAGAGATGCCGTGTGAATGGGTGGGTCCCCATTGGCCCCGCGCAAACGGGTGAGCCCCGACTTGACTCGACGTGGTTGCCGATGTGTGGAACTTCACGTGTGACTCTTAAAATGGGGTCTCATGTGCGGGGGAGTGTTAGAATTCCTCTGTCCCACATCAGCTAGAAAGCTTGAGAACAAGTCATTAAGTAGAATTACCCCACTCTAACTAACACCGAGGCTTTTTGTATTAAAACCCCACACTTGACGGATTGAGCAAGTGACCAAGTGATGATAGTATCGGTGTTGTTGTAGTGGGTCCATGGCCCGTCTACCTGAAATTTAAGACCTTCTACCGGATGTCTTCACCTGAAAGGTAGAAACTCATTTGCACGACGACCTCTGCTACTTGCGTTCCCAAATCATAATTCTTATGTACATTACAAGTGTTGAGCAAAGTTCTCCAAGAAACAATCACTTGACTGGCATGGTCCTCATATAATTCTCAGCATGATCAAGTTGGCCAGCCCTGCTGAGGAGTCCTACGATACAAGTATGGCGCTCTAGTCCAGGTGCAATACCAATTTGTTTCATTAATTGGTTCAAATAGTAGAATCCTTCCTGCACAAACCCAAATGAGCACAAGCAGAGAGAACATACCCCGACAAAAGTAATTTTGTTAGGACAGTCTCCAGCTTGCAACATGTCTTGAAAGTTTGAAACACATTCAGCGCTTCCTTGCCAAGCCTGCGATGGGAATATCCAGATATCATTGCATTCCAAGTAACAGAGTCTCGATATGTCACATCCAAGAACAATTCATTTGCTGCGTGAATGTTGCCACACTTGGGATACATATTGATCAAAGCATTCCCAACATTGCCAAGTCTTTGAAACCTGACTTCTCAACACAGGCAGCAAAAGTATATTCATTTGGAAGAACGTCTTCAGTTCTCATTTTCGACAGTACATCTAATGCATCCCATTTTGGAAATAAGTAGCCGTGATTGGGTTGGGCTATGGATTTGTAAATGTATAACACCATTTTATGGGCTTTCAGCCCCCACATGAGGACTTGTGTCCATCAAGAAGACCACATCAACTGCACGTTATTTTATGGCCCATGGAATACCGCAATACAAGGGGTCTCTTTTGTTTGTGTATGGGTGTAAGGATGATGTGGTTCTCCCAATGAACGCGACAACTTGTCCGATATTGCAACAAATTCTAACTTGTAAAACTAATATATCATCTTATTAATATTTCTTTCATCACGTGTTAGGTGACATAAAAGAGGTATCAATATGGAAATATACCTCTAGTTGTACTTGAGAATACCCCTACACTTGAGCCGAAGATCAAGCCCGAACCAGCAAGTCTTTTCAGTAATTAGCCCACTCTACTTTAAACAAGGGCCATTAGGTATGTTGAATGGGAGAGTGTTAGAGCAGCTGCGCATCTTATTTTATGAGTCTAATAAACATGAAAAATCAGAATCCGCTCACAACGTACAAATTAATTCTAGCATTTCAGGGAGTTGCATTTTGCGGGCAGTGATGAACAGTTGAACTGTATCGGATTTGTGATCTTGATGGCTATACATGTCATGCAACCAACCAGCTGGTGACATCGTTTGATGAAACATTAGGTTCCCTTTTACTGTCACGCACCATAGGTCCCAAAACACCTACAAATTAATCATCATCAATTCACTCAAAGATGAAATCAAGTAGTTGCCGCGAATCTAAGTCTAAGTTCACCGCATTTAATGTTGTGTGAGAATCTGCCGCATAACCAGTTTTATATCCCATAAATCAGGGATAAGGGTTTCCCCTTGGATTTTATAATTTGAAATCACCAAAAGTTCCAAAAGATTCGAGCTATATGTCAAATGTGGTTGTCCTGACTTGATAATTTGATCCCATTTGGCATCTGCATTCTGCGTACAGCTTGCCTAGATGTCAATGTAGTTGTGATTTTGATGTGACATAACTTTCCAGTGCAATTATGAGAATAATTAAGGTGTTCAAATTGAAGCATCAATCGTATATTTAAAGAATAAAATCTAAACCGTTAAAATTTGATCAAACTGTTGCAATTATTATAATTTTTAAAAATATTCTTTATTTATAACCGTTTAATCAAATTTTAGCGTTCTGGATCCTTTGCTTAGAAGGCTCAGCCTTGTAAACCCGAGGGGATCCGGTTCCTTTCTATTAGCATACAATCAAAGATATGTTATTTAAAATTAACATCAAACTTTCTCTTGAGATATAGACGTCAGGATAAATATAGAGATGACAATCTCGCTTTTTATTAGAGTAGACATGAACCCTACTAGCTTAGGACTCTAAAACACAAAATTGTAATCAGAAGTCCCACAGAGATTAGTTGCAGCAATCATTTGAAACCCTAACCCTATCTCTTATTTGACCACTGGCTCCATTAATTTTATAGTGTCGGTGCCTCTGCTTTCCATATTTGTTACACCATAAACATTCCTCACTTTCACCTGTTGAGAGTTAATTCTACATTCGAGAAATGAAGAATTTTACATGTACTTATAAGTAGTTGAGCTATTTCTTATATTGTTAATTGTTTTTATGATAGAACCTCAACTTCTTTATGATTTCAGAGCAGGTTATCATATAGGTGAAACCTAACTACCACACGTGCTACACGTCACTTAATTTGTGCTGTTCATATGTTTACGTGTTAGGTTTGAAAATTCGCTACATGTGAGGGGACGTGTTGAGAGTGAATCCCACATCAGGAAAATAAAGAACATTGCATGTGCTTACAGGTTGTTGAACTACTTCTCATATTGTCAATTAATTTTATAGTAAAAAACCTCGACTTCTTAACTACCTAACTGGGTTAAAAACCCTCTATATCCCATAAAGAACTTTTCAACTACTAAATGGATGAATGGAGATTTGAGACACCATGTTGTATTCCATTCGTACTTTCTGCAACAGCTCCAAAATATTTCATTATCTGCATTAAAATGGATGATATATACATGACATAAATATTTCACTATCTGCATTAAAATGGATGATATATACATGACAATATATATATATATGTATGTATGTATGTATGTATGTATTCTCTTATGGGGTTTTCCTTCTTTTCACGGAAAGAGATTATCTCCTAATCTCTTCCACTTAGGTAACCTAATCAAGTGATTTGGGCTCTTAAAATTTAATCCAACGACTAAAGTTATTAAAACTTTTAAAGAAGCCTCTGTTTTTAATCGTTAGATCAAATTTTAAGGACTCGGATCACTTGATTAAGTGACCTAGGTGAAAGAGATTAGGAGAGGATCTCTTTCCCTTTTTTCACCAGACATAAGTTAAGATTTTTCTTCCAGCACAGTGGACTAGACAAAGTATGCTTCATCTTTTACACTCAATTATAATCTCCAACGTAATTGTAGACCTTAACTAGGTTGGTTAGTCAAAACAATATGTGCATGCTCCCTTACACTTGAGTTCAAGTTTCATCCCATAAATTAGAGTAGTTTGGATTAATATCGGCTTAGAATGTAATTAAAGGCGCAGAATACGCAGCCCGAGTTTATTCCAATGACATTACACAAAGCTGATTGTAAGACCTCTTCTGCTACTGCATTTGCTAATCTTAGTAAAAGAAGCACCTCTTCTATTCAATATTCATAACTTCATGAACTAACAGCGGGTGGTAAATTTCCACTACCAAACTGCCTTACAAACAGATTCTCTCTCTCTCTCTCTCTCTCTCTCTCGCGCAGATATGGCCATGAGGCTTCAGAATAATCCAAGCCATGACCTGAAAAAACTCACAAATCTATTATCAAATGAAAGAGGTCACTCAACCCTTTCCATTTTTCACCCTTATAAGCAAACCCTCTTCATCTTTTACCCTTAAATTTTTACCACATATGCAGCTAAACAAACTGGAGTAGTAAAATAAGCCTTTCTAACCATACATAGAGAGATAATTAACTAATAGAGAAACTGTCTCCCAGTATATGTCTGACCAAATGACCAATTAGGAGGGGCAACATTGTAAGAAACCAATCTGCGGCCATCACTGGTGGTCACAATAAAAGAGAGGCTTTGTCCATTGAGGTAAGAATTGCTCTGCCAGTTTTGGCCCCAGTTTCTTGACATTGCTTGCCACCGAGTCCTGGAGCCCTTGATGGCCACAGATTGCACATCTCCAGCACCACCGACGTTTGTCACAAGGACTAAGTTGAAGTAAGAGTGTCCATTCACAGTGAACCTTATGCCTCCTCTTCTCCTGCATCTAACCCTACAAAGCACAATGGAAACACGTCGGAAACTTGACAAAATAAAATATAGTATATAATAGTGGTTCTACTACTAATATAATGACCTCTTTGTGATAAAACCCTTAACCTGAGTTACATAGG